AAAAAAAAAAAAAAAAAAGAACTACTTGGATTATAAAAAGGAAATTTCACACTAAAATCATGGGTAAAGTTTTAGGAACAGAGGAAAGAAAGTGAAAAGGCCCAGACAGAGATGGAATTAAGTTTGGAATATTTAAGAGAAAGAAAGAAAAAGAGGTCAGATGTTACTAGGCCAAGGGGCATGAAGAGAACTGAGGTAAGAGATGAAGAGTGAGGTCTAATCACATCTAATAGCCATGGCAAGGTGTTTGGGTGTTTGGCATGTTTCATAACTCTAACAAGAAGTCTCAAGGATTGTTGTCAGAGGAGTGATCAGATCTGACCTCTGCCACATATTGAGAGGGAAAGTAGAGAGAAGGAGCAGTGAGGGGATGGCAGCTGTAATCCAGTGAGTATTGGTAGGGTTTAGATTATGCAGGTGACACCAGAGAGAGTTAGAAGTACTCAGAGACATTGGTGTTTGTGCACAACCTACAGGAGTTGCTGAAGGACAAAGGGAAATAGATGAGTCAACCTCGGGTCTCAATTTTAGCCCAGGGTAACTGAATTGATGGTGATAGCTTCAATGGAAGTAGAGAGGAGGATGGCCCCCAGATCATAGGTACTGAGGAAAGTAAGAGTCAGCAGTTTAAGCTGGGCCACGTTATGTTTGAAGCCAAAAGAATAAATTTATACACACAAATAAAAAATGTGCATTTGAACATTATCAGAATAACCCAGAAAAGGAAACTAGAAATTGAGATGAGATTTGTAAGAAGGAATGAGGGCAAAGTTAAAATATTCTAGATTAAATCATCCCCCTCAAATAAAGCCAATTATTAACAAGGGACTTTTAGTAGACCTGAATTTCTAATTTCTGAGTAATTACAAATAACAAAGAAAACAGTATCCATAAACGTTATAATTACTCACTGCATATCAAGTGTAAAGCAAAGGGCCCAACACTTCTCACATATTATCTCTAATTATAACAACATGTCTCCAATATATAATAGTCAACCCTGCTAAAGGCAAGTACTTCTAAATCAACATCCATGTGGGATCCAATACATCACTCTGTTTATCAGAGTAATGTGGTTATTGGTGTTGTTTGTGGGGAGTAAAAAGTCACCAATACAGAATGGGTCAAAGCAGGATTAGAATACCATAGGAGTGAGTCCTCAACACTGTTGAGGCTGATTTAACTCAGCAAAAATCACCATGACATGAGTCACCATGTACATTCTCAGCTGAAGTATCTGTATTCCCAAGATGAATGCCTAGGACAATCTCCACTCACTTGTGGAGCAGAAGGTTATCATACAATGTCCTACATATCTTAAGAGGTTAAAGAAGGTATTCTGGGGGCATACAAAAATGTCAGTCCTAATTTGGGCCAGCCAGAGGAGTTCAAAGTATTGATCTTATTTCTCAATGATGATTGTCTATATTATTGAGGAAAATGACCACAGTTTTCCATAACTTTGAACTGTACATACTCCTACATATATATCTGAGAGTGACTCTTGCACACATAAAAAGGATATACAAAAGAATGTTCTTGATACCGCTATTCATATTTTAAAAGATTGAAAATTGCCCATCAATGATACACTGTATAAATCAGTTCTTGTATACACTCATGAAACTATAGTATACCATGGTGAAAACAACTGCAACTGTACATATAAACAAGGATGAAACTCCAAATGATAACACTTACAGAAAAAGCAAGTCATTAGAGAATGCATATAGTTCATTCTATTTAAGAATGTTTAATAGCAGGATATATAAATACTCTGTCCATTAAATGCATAGAAAAAAAACATTAAAAGAAGTTCTAGGGAATGAATAATCCAAAATTCAAGGAAATGATTATATGTCAAGGAGAAGTCAAGAGGAACAAGTGTTTAGCAGTGGCCCCCAAGGAGCTCTATGTTCCTGCCAATGATCTGGTTCTAGCTCAGTGAAGAGAACAGGTGTGATGTATTGTCATCAGACTTTAGAGGGTAGATAGATATTTAAATATAAATACAAGTATTTACAAATGTAACACTGTTTTACAATAAATAATAACTATCTAACAATTATATAAGATCACATAATTAAATCCACAAACTCATCCTGGAAAAAGTACTACGTACCTCATTGCTGAATATCACTATGGTCACCCTCAAGGTACTCCCCTTGGGAAGCTACACACCAATGCCAGCACTGAATCCACCCTTCAAAGCACTTTTTTCTAGGATGAGTTCACAAACTTAATTGTCATACCTCATATGATAATAGCTCTGAAAGCCATTTCAGAAAAAGAGTTCCAAAATTGCTTTGGAACTATATAAAGTCTGGGGATTGCAAACCATCCAGGAGTCACAATGGAAAATGATTAGAAAAGGTTATTAAGTACGTTATGTTAAAGGACCAAATTATCTATCTATCCATTCATCCATCATCTACCCAGCTATCTATAGTGGCCTACTATTTAGGATACTATAAAAATGGCCAATTTTCAGCTCAGAAATCCTGTAAGCTAAGCCTTACAATTGATGGAAAAATCAAATCATTTACTGATATGCAAACAATGGAAGTTTGCCACAAGAAGACCAGCTTTATAGAAAATACTTAAGACCTATTCAACACATTGACCATCACAATGGACCACCAGCAAGGTAAACACCCAGAAACTAAAGGACAAAACCTAGCTTTCACAATGATACAAAACAAAGCAAAGCAATGGACTTTCACAAAATAAGATGACTAGAACTCCATCACACTCATCCATTATCTCAATACATGTTAATGGCTTCAATTCACCAATGATGAGTCAAATGCTGGCTAGTT